TTGTCTCGAAAGGACTCCAACATCAATCTTTGGTGGCACGGTTTGGCGGTGGATGTGCCAGAGACCGCATCTCGAAAGGACCGTGCTCCGGTTGGGCGGGGGCCCTGGTTCACCAAATGGGAAGTGGGGGGGATCGCATTTGGTGCAGGACTCGAGTGCTCCTTTGCCGACAGCTCATTATGTTCCATCTCCGGCGAGGGGATGGTTGTCGAGGGGGGCCGCGGCCTAGTATTCCCCCCGAAGGCTGCGGGGAGTAGCCATTGCCGTTGGAGGGGGGACCAAGGCCTAATACTCCAGTCGTGAGCACTGTTTGTTTGCCGGTGCCGTAAAGGTGTCCGTGCACTGCAGAAGTGGTGGCTAAGCCGGACCTGAGGAGTTCCGGCGAGATGACTGAGGCGGGAAGAGAATCCGCGGGGGGCAGCGAAAAACCGTCCGATGGCTTGCGACCAGCGCCAGCACCGGAGTAGGAGGACGCCGACCGACATCAAAGGAGATGGTCTCCATCTGCGTTGGGGGCGCTTGATGGCCGGGCTGCAATGTGGGCGCTTGGTGGCCGGTCTGGGGTAAAGGGCTAGTCTGGGATAAGAGATGATTTGGGAGAGATGGGCCTGTTGGGCTTGATTTGGTAGGAAGATGGGGAGAATTGTGGTATGATGGGGAATTAGGAAGAGATGAGAATTGGGCCGGAGCTGGCTGTACACAAAATAAAAAAGATTGGTCCGAATTGGGCCTTGGTAGCGGCCCAAAATTTCGGCCCACATGATGAGCTGAGGGGAAATTGTGTTGGGGGAGGATAAGGAAGGGGGTTTTTGATGCCGCAAAGGGATGGACCTCTGTCGGGGAGGATAAGGTTGTCACCGGGATTGAGCCAAATTGCACATTAACGACGACCTGAACGGCTGGGATGCCGGTGACGCCCAGGGGGACATGGTCTACCGGGTAGTTGACCTCCACAAGCGGCGATGTTGTAGGAGGAGCTGTTACAGACAGCGGCAGGGTTTTCTTGATGATGGTAGTCCAAGAGGTAGCATCGAGAGTGACGGGATCTGCGAGCTAGAGGAATAGTCCATGGGGGAAAGGGGGAAGAGTGGTGGGGGAG